ATTCAGATTCTTTGCCTACTTTTTAGTTGGGTTGTTTATCTCTTTATATTGAATTATAAGTACTTTATGTATTCTAGATACAAATCTTTTATTAGATATATAATTGTCAATGTTTTATAGTCTGTGAGTTATCTTCACGTTTTTGAGATTATCATTTGAAGTATTTTACATTTTTAATTTTGATAAAGTTCAAATATTGCTGTCATATCTAAGAAGACTTTGCCTAACCAATGGTCTTGGAAGAAGTAGAGGTGGAGCACGTTGGGATTGGAAATAGGTACACTAAGGTGAAATTGAGGTAAGAGAAATGGGTAGAATGGGATTAAGTTTTGAGTAGAAAAGATTTTTCTCCTACTATGAAAGATTCTGAGCCTCTGAATATCAGTTTTATGTGTCTTTATTTGTTTAAAATGAATAATGATTCATACTTGAACATACTGTTCTTTCCTTTGCTTTTTCCCTACACCATGTCTTTGAGATCATTGTCAATTAATTCTCCACTCTATGGCTATACCACATTTTGTTCACCCAAAATGTTCAGTTGATGAACATTTGGGTTATTTCCACTTTGGGGCTATTATGTATTAGTATGTTACTTCATTGTTAACTCCCATATACTATCCAGTGTAATGTTGCATCTTAAATCATCTATCAGTCTCCTATGTTATAATAGCACAAAAAAGTGAATATTTTTCAATATCACACTTAGGCGAACATCTTCATCCTTGTACATGTATGTGTTTAGACCTCTTTATGTGCACATTTAAAATAAATTTCATAACAGTACTGCCTGAAAGATTCCTATGATGCTCTTTACCATGGAATGTATGAGAGTGCCTATTGGCCCTCTTGCTTAGCAGCTGTTACTGAGTATCATTGATATTTTAACTTTACAAATCTGATAGGTTAAAAATGGTATCCTGTTTATTAATTGTGTATGAATTTAAAGTGAATATATTTAAAAAATTTGTTTTGGCCATTTAAAAAAAAATTGCTTATTTGTATACCCTTTGTCGTATGGAATTTATTAATTTTACTTTAATGGAAGGCACCAGGAGTATTTCTTTACATGGGAAGTGGTGAGGAGGATTGCTCTGGTTGCTCACTCCCTCCAATTTGTAAAGTCCTTAAGAACTGAAATTCTGCCCAGCAATGGTGTATCTCAGCCATTGAGCATTGGCCCAGGAACCAAGAGGTCACCGGTTCAATTCCCAGTGAGGGCATATGCACGGGTTGCAGGCTCGATCCCCAGTGGGGAGTGTATAGGAGGCAGCCAATCAATGATTTTCTCTCATCATTGATGTTTCTATCTTTCTCTCCCTCTCCCTTCCTCTCTGAAATCAATAAAAATATATTTGGGGGAAAGGGGGAGAGAAAAGAACTGAAATTCTTCCTGTGTGTTCTCTAATTCTGACTGTATGAGTTTTTGTTTGTAAAATGCTCAGTCACCATGCCTACACAGTAGTCAGTGCTCAACTTCCTCTCTTTTCTTCCTTCACATTGTTTTTTCACTTTATGCCAGATTTTGTGGGAGGGAACTTATTGTCTAGTGATGATGACTCCGGTGTTTCCTGCACATCTGGTATGTGAGCCTGTCTAACAGGGCTTCACTGTGCCTGACCTTTGAATGGGGCCATCCATGGCCAGGGTCACTGGGCAGGCTAGCAATTTGGTTCCCCCTTTAAATCAATGTATTTTAAATATCCAGTAGTTATTAGAGGAGAAGAGCTTTGTGGAAATAAAGAGTGGATAGCATTCTGCAGACTTAGGCCAAATTTTGGCTGCCTTCTGACCTTATGACTTCACTCTGCACAGCAAACCTGAACCACCCTTCAGAAAAGGAAGTTATTTTCTGAAGCTTATTTCTGGAGGTTGATTCTTTTCCAGGGTAGACTGCCCAACTCACTTCCTACCACACCCAGTGTGCTGACCAGACCATATCCCCCTGCAACTTTCACTTGATATTTAGTGTCCCTTTAGTCCACCCTTTAGTGCAGTCTTAATGTCAACATGTATGAAGTAAGGTGACTGAATTTTGTTTAAACAAATCTATTTGAACTTGTGTTTTAGTGAGTGTTCTCTCTCAAGGATTGAAATTGCCTAAAACAGCACTTGTAACACATTGCTTTTGAGTGTTCTCAGAGGTGACAAGTTTCATACTTTGATGTTGAGATTTCTCCCCTCCCCCTCCTCCAGTAGTTTAAGGGTTTCTACATCCCAGTGCAGTGATTGGGGGCAGGGATTGAAGTTATAACTATACAGTAATGAGAGGGGTCCTTTTGAGGACCCTAAACACAGTGGCTCCTAAATGGTAAGCTGTGGGTTTTCCCCACCAGACAATGCTCTCACATGATTTATCACTGAGTTTCAGAGACTTCATGGATCCTCTGAAAATTTATCTAAAAACCTTTTTGAATTATTGTAAAAGACATTCATTTTCATGCATTGGTTCTGAGATTTTGTTTTAAGACTTTTGCCTTAGAGTCAGACCTGTATCTTAGACTTGGATGCGAGATACTATTTGTGGATTTTGAAGTTAGAAAAAGGCAAGGGTGTGTATCTGTGCCATACAGGAAGCCTGTTTAAATTTTGGCAGCTTCCTCACTTTGCATACCAAGTATTAGAAACCCATAAAGGGGACCATCTGTAGCTAAAGGACAGGAAGTGATAGATCTAAAAGGAGCTTGCAGACAATGCTTCACGAAAAAGTTAAAACCTGAGGGGGAAAAGTCAAGCATACTTGAAAATAATGCCAAATTTGAAGTAACACACATTGTTTTCTTTCTTCTAAAATGAGATATACATGTGAAAGCAACTAGTTAGTTGGTTCTCAGTATATGTCAGCTAAATACATTTCAGAGTTTCAAATACATTTTGTGATAATGGCATTTCCCCTCTTCTAATCTAAGGCTTTTAAGGTTTTTCATAAGCTTGTATTTTAACGCAGTATATTTTCATTATACAGGAGTGCAAACCTGAATGTATAGCTGTTACTTTAATCTTTAAATTTTTGGCATTTCATGCCTTTTCTCTTAAAAATATTATGAAGGGCTTGGGGAACATTTCTTTTTACAGAATAGTCTACATCCTGAATGAACATCTGCTGTTTGAGAGCATCCTTGGATGATTCATACAACCTTGTAGATTTATGGGAGTCTGACTATGGGAAGGAAGTTTCATTAACAGCAGCAAATGTGGCAGAAGTGGAAATGGTGGTCTATTTTTAAATTTCCTCTGTGTTTGCTTTGAATTGGTCTACTGATCTAATCCTTCTCTGTGTTCACTAAGCCACCAGGCAGAGAGGTACTTGTCAGACTCATCAAACTCATTTCTAGGAGGGAGCTCTTCAGTTCTCTGGAGGAAGGTTTTAAGGAATCCAGGATCTATTAAAAATGGAAGGATGAAGAGAAGTCGGTTAGTTACACAACAGTGCTTTCAGATTAGAGACAGAGACTGAGAGCTATGGCTAGACCTCTCCACTGATGAAGTTCGGGAACTGGAGCCTACTGAGAAAGGGTGTTTACTTCTTAAAGTTACCTGTGGTGTGATGCTTGAAGTTTAGGTTCAATGGCAGCATTTAGGAATGTGGGTTCAACTGGTGTTGGACATGAACTGTTTAAGAGCATAAATAAAAAAAAATCTTATGTGAGTTATGTGATTGATTAGTTTTCTTGGTTGGTGTTCTCGTGATTCCCAAAACAGGTTTAAGTCAATGAGCAGTCTTCTCCTGCCCCATCAGTACTTCTTGCTGGTGACTGAAGATATAGACCAAGGTGGGGTCTGCAGTGCTGAGTAAAGGACTGACTGGCAGGTTTACTTATCTGGCTCCTGGTTTGAGCTAGCCAAGACATGCTAGGCGAGGTGGTGTCTTCTTGGTGGAGCTCCATTCCCTCCTGCTCAGTGTGGGGGGCTGAATTCAGATGAGGGTGTTGGTTCTCCTTCCCCATGCTACCCTCCAACGCTACAGGAGGAAGCCACTGCCAATCTCAGTCATAAAAGAGTCATGTAAAAAGGTGTGTGAGTACTTTCCAAAACTTTTTCAGTGATGCTCAGGTTTGATCCAGGATTAGGATTCGGATTTGGATCTGAGGTTCCTTTAAAGTCATGTGATACAGTGATAATAATCAGTTTATTCAGTTTTTGCTGCTACTGTATCATTTTTTTTTCAGATATTTAAGTCAGGAAAGTATGATTTTAGTTTATGCTTTAAAGAAATACCTTCATTACAACTTCCTAATTAAAGCAATTCTCCTACTAAGACCCCAATTAAAAATAATCTTTATTTTTGACAGGTGCTTTGAGAGAATTTCTGATCCATCTCAGAGAGCGCTTCCAAAGAAAAACTGACAATATTATTTTTATGACTAGTCTAAGCGAAATAAGGGCTATTTGTTTTTAAAGCCATTTCTGTGTCTGCTCTTTCAAATTCATTTTTTTTTACTTGGTTCTTTTAGGTTTTCACTCTAAAGAGAAGTTATTCTGAGCTGGCTGAATTAATTTTGAAGAAGTTGAATTATTTAAATTCCATTTTGGGGAAGAGGGAGTACTCATCTTTAACATGCAAAAATTAAAATCTGCTTGCTTTGTGAAATTCAGAACCTGAAACTGTTAGGCAGTGCCTGGGAACTGTCAGTGCCAGATCCCCTGCACCTGAGCTGTCAGCATCTAAAGTTTCTTCCAGATCAGTCATTTTAACCTATAGAATTTTAACATCAATCAATATGCTTTTCAGTGCACCAAGATCTACTAGCCTTTTCCTACAGAGCTCTGCTTGGTATAATTATTATTTGTATAACTTGGATAATACACAACTTGGGATGGGAAAATTCACTTTTGGGTGCAGTACTGGCTCTTCCTTTTGTGGTTGTGCTGCCATAGAGATGCTTAACAAAAGCAAAGAGGAAAGAGCCTATTTGCCTATGTGGATTCAGCAAGTAGAGAATACTTATCAATGCCAAAAAGATCATTCTTTAATAGGTGGCTTTTGTGTTTTGTTTCAGACTCACAAGAAGTTGATGTACAGCTGATAGCAGAAGTGGTTGCAAAATGTTCGTCTGAGACTCATTCTAGACCCACAGAAAACGAGGTTTCACAGCAGGCTATTGATTCTTACTCAGTTAGGGATTTCAAAGAAGGACCTGAACATGATATTAGCAAAATTTCAGTGGTGAGGCCATTTTCAATAGCAACCAAGAAGTCCACGGATAACTCGGAGGCAGCTCTTGGAACAGAAGCAGCATATGGCTGTGTAACGGCCATCTCCGGCGAGGCTCTGCCCTCCAGCCCGCCAGAAGCCACCCAGGACAAGGTGATGACAGAAAGCACCATGGGGGTTACACTGGAGGCTTCCACAGAAGCTGACCTGAAGAGTGGCAACTCCTGTCCGGAGCCAGTGCCCAGCAGAAGCAAGCTCAGAAAGCCCAAACCAATCTCTCTGAGGAAGAAGACAGCTGGCGAGTTCTCAGAAACTTCCATGGAGGGCATGCCTCTCCCCCAGGCAACCCATCCTGATGAAATGGATGGGAACACAAGTCCTTTGCTAGGAGATGCCAGGACTCAGAAATCTTCCCCTGACACTAGGGAAACAAGCAGCACTCCCAGCAGTGACACCAATGATTCCGGGGTGGAGCTGCTGGAGGATCCAAGGAGCTCACCTCTGAAGCTCGAGTTTAACTTCACAGAAGATGTGGAAAATGTAGAGTCCAGGAAAGGCCTTCCAAGAAAACTTGGCAGGAAACTGGGTAACAAACTGCCTCCAAAGGCACAGAAAGATGGCATCAGTAAGCCCGGAGGCACCAAAGGTTCAGAACCACCCCCGGACCAAGCCACAGATGATGCTTCTCTCTGCCAAGCGTCTTCTAAGCAGAATCCCAGTTTTGGTCCCCTGGGTGGCCAGTCCACACCGCAGGACTCCCCTCCCCTCTCCTCTAAGGGATCCTACCACTTTGATGAGTCCACGGATCCCTTTAAACCAACTACAGCTTTAACAAATGGTGACTGTTCTCCTGCTGGTAATCATGTTAATGAAACCTTAGACTCACCCAAGAAGGCAAAGTCCCGTTTAATAACGTGAGTGATGAGGGGTGTGGGTGTTGTGTTCTGTGTACACTCTGAAAGTTTGGCAGCCGGCTGCTGTGGGTTTTGGGGATCTGGAGTTCTCTTTGAGGTGCAGGTAGGCAGACACAAAGTTTACGACTTCATATTGCAGTCTTCACTTAAGCCAGGAAAGTACGTTTGTTTTAAAGCAAACTTTTGTGTGGAATCAAATACCAGAGGTTTCCTTTCTCGATATCTGCCTGGTTTATGAATCCTCAGCTTATTCAGCTGAACTCTTCCCCGACAACCCCCCCCCTCCTTACTTTTGGTACTTTTGTCCTGTTTAACAAGATAGGCAGGTAGAGATTTGATGGTTTTCAGAAATCTTATCTGGGCTGTCAGGAATCGCTTTACTTACAGAATTCATGTTCAGATTCTCTGTGGATAAAACAAAAACTCGAAGCCTACAGATTACCTGTTTAATGTCAAGAACTATCGGGTCTAGTAATAATTAATGTCGTTTTTAAACATTAGTTTAAAATCTTGCTTGGCGTAGACTTGTATTGACATAACCTTTAAACACGTGGTATCTACAGAACGTGTGAAGTGCAATTAACAGGTTTTGCTTGAAAAAGTTCGTGTTTGGTTTGGTTTTTGTTGCAAAACTAGGGCTAAGAAGATGGCGGATGAAGAGCATATTCGGCACTGCATGCTTTACGAGTTCCAATTAGGAAGAAAAGCAAGTGAGGCTTCAAAAAACATCTGTAGTGCTCTTGGTCAAGATGCAGTTAGCGCCAGAAAATGCCAGCGTTGGTTTGAGAAATTTCGCGAGGGAAATTTTTCGTTAGATGACAAGAGTGGTCGAGGCCGTGTGTCCAATTTTGATCAAGAAGCTCTTCAAGCTCTTTTGGTGCAAAATCCTCAAATTACCCAACAAGAGCTTGCGACAATGTTAAATTGTTCACAAAAAACAATTTCCAATCAATTGCGTGCACTTGGCAAAGTCCAAAAGTTTGGAAAATGGGTTCCTCATGAGTTGACCGACAACAACCGAAATCAAAGAGTCACAATTTGCAGTTCGCTCCTCTCTCGTCAAAACCGTTTGCCGTTTTTAGAGCAAATTGTTCCCGGAGATAAAGAATGGGTGCTGTATGTTAATATGAAAAGGCGGCCTCAATGGTTGGACAAAAATGAGGCTCCGCAGCCCACGCCAAAACCTGACTTGCATGCGAAAAAAGTGATGTTGTGTGTTTGGTGGAATTTTAAAGGAATTCTTCATTATGAACTTTTACCATCTAACCAAACCATTACAAGTGCAGTGTATAGTGCCCAATTGGAAAGGTTATCCCAAGCTTTAAGAGAAAAAGAACCCGCGCTGATTAATCGGAAGGGTGTAATTCTTCACCACGATAACGCACGACCGCATACTGCAAGAATCACTGCTGAAAAACTGCGCCAGTTGGAATGGGAAGTTCTCCCTCAACCTGCATATTCTCCTGATATTGCCCCTTCCGATTACCATTTGTTTCGTTCTTTGCAAAACTTTCTTCTTGGAAAAAAATTTAATAATGAAGAATGCCTCAAAAATGCATTGACCGAATTTTTTGCATCAAAATCACAAGAATTTTACAACAGAGGGATTAAAGCTTCCTGAGCGTTGGGCACAAGTAGTAGAAAACAACGGCAACTATATTGTTGATTAAATTTTGTTGTATTGTTTAAATAAATTCGATTTAAAAAGTATTAGAAAACGACATTAATTATTACTAGACCTAATAGTATTGTAGAAAATGGTCCAAAAGGGTCTTATGGAAGTTTTTCACTTAAAACAGAAAACTGTGGTTTTTGTTGGAAACCAACCATTGAAAGTTGGAGAAAATTCTTATGTCTTTATGGTTGTTCCATCAACAAGGAGGTGAATTTCCAATAAGAATCAAGAATATTTTAAAGGATGACAGAAATCTGACTAGTCTTTTGTTGTGTGTTGTGACACCACCCCTGCCCTACCCCTTGCCCTGGGAAGTCTGGAGCCACTTTTGCAAGATCCTTGGAGTTTTCAGAGTGATTACCTCAGACCACAGTACATGTCAAGTTTCAGGTTAAATTTGTTACAAGGTTCCCTTATCACAAAACGAAGTGGTGATAGTACACCCCTTTGTGACCCAAAGGCATTTTGCTGAACATTGAATATAAGAGAGACCAATGACATAGAGGATGAAGTATGAAAAGGGAAGTTGAAAAGAAATATGTTTTTAATTGTCACCATAGATCATTAGGGAAGCAATTTTTAGTATTACTATTACTTTAAAAAAAAAAAATGCTGGATGGTGTGATATATTATACTAAAGGAAAAGGTTTAAAGAGCAGAAAGTATCAATCCGGACCAAGAAGCTCAAGCAATGTAGGAATCAGTTCTTCAGCAACTTCAGAATATCTAGGGAAATAAGATGCCAGTAATTATTGTTGATTTATTCTCTGATTATACACTGACTGGCCAGATTATTATGACCTCTGAACGCATAGTAATCTTGCCACTCAGTGTGTGTGTGTGTGTGTGTGTGTGTGTGTGTGTATTATTTTAGAAGCCCAGTGCATGAATTTGTGCATGGGTGGGGTCCGGCCAGTCTGCCCAGGGGGAGGGGACATGGGCAGTTGGCCAGCCTGCCTGCTGGTCGAACTCCTGGTCGAGGGGACAATTTACATATTAGCCTTTTATTATATAGGATATACACTGAGTGGTCAGATTATTATGTGTTCAGTATGCATTCAGAGATCATAATAATCTGGCCACTCAGTGTATAGGGGCCGTTAAATGGTTGCTGAAAAAGATGATTGATCAGGTGTCCCCAAAATGCTCTTCTGTGGCTGAGGTTAGTTACAGTGCTTGGGGTATGCATTGGCCAGGTCATTACCTTGGTGCTTCTTGATATGGGGTATCCTATATATGGGGTGTCTCTACTTAGCAAGGTTGATAAGTCATTTCATTTGGGAGCCTTCCTTCCGACACATGTTGAAGTCATGTAGCCTTTACATTCACATTAGATGAGGTTAAATCTAGATCAAAGGGAGGGAAATCGATCTACACCTTATTTTCCATAGCAAGAAGCACCCTCCCTTGAGTCTTACCACCCTCACCTGGTAGCATTGTCCTCCTAATCTGTTTTTGGTGAATGGACTTCTTGATCTAATAATATACCTTACAGATTTTTAAAAAATGCTATGCAATCAAAACTCTTGCCTCCAAGAAGGTTGCTTGACCTCTGTGTAACTGGGATTTTGTTTAGCAAAACCCTTCATTGGTAAGGAAGACTGAAAATATACATGTGGAGGTAGAATCTAGTGGAGAATTAGAAGTTCTGTTAGCAGGGTACTTGTGTTATTTTTTAAAAGATGTATGTAATTGGTGTCTCAGATTCTTCTGTGAAATGGAGACACCATCCTATGGTTAGGATTTTTGTGGACCAAATAAAGTATGGAAAATCAGGTGCCTTAGTGACAAACACCTACAGCAGATATAAGCAGATACATCTTCAACTATATTTTTATTCACACATTGCCTTAGATGACTAGACATTTAAGAGTAAATGTGTTCAGCAGGGAAATGTTTACTTTTTCATCTGTAAGCTTGAGTATGTGGCATTTCTGAATGTTTCTATCACCCTTTCTCATTAGAGATGAGGTTCCTGACAATCATTCACTCGCCATTGATAACATTCATAAAAATATTTTAAATTTGTATCTCACCTCATAGAAAGAACTTTGCAGCCCGACTAGAGATAAATATCTCAGGCTTTACATGATTCTTTTCTCCATCTGTGTGTCTCTTTCCTGTTTCTAATTTTGTTGGTGCATCAGGACTACTGAACAAGTGAAATTTCTCTGTTTTCTGTTGTAAGTACTCCTACGGTGGTTTCTTTCTGTCCCTGAGACTGTTGGCAGTTCCTCTTCCCTCCTCCCCAGACCATCTCTCCATAGCATGTTGGCTTCCAGTTCTGAGTTTGACCTTCTGTTTATTTTTTGCATTTCATTTGCCACTTCATGAGTGAGCTTAGCCTTGTGATTGTCTGTACCTGAAGGAGTGGCGGTCGGCCTTCCAACCTTAGGTGCGTGAGCTTGCGCTCTCTGCCTTGGCACGCCTTGTGTGGCGCTTTGATACTGAATGCTGGCTTGGCCCCGAAGATCATCTGGCAGGGGTTTCAGACACTGCTCTGCTATTTAATGTTGAAAATAATTGACTTTCTTGATAGGATAAGGCTACTGGGTTGGAGCAGGGGATGAAATGGAGACATCATACTATGATTGGGATTCTTGTGGACTGACTTGAGTTGGGTGGCAAGGGGTGGCACTCAAGCAGTAGGAAAGAAAATTACGAGTCAGGCAGTGGTTGTACACATTTTAGTAACATATATGCTTGCCTTTTTTTGTTTGTTTCCCCACACAAGGAAAAAAAGTTGCTTTTTTTTTTTTTTCATAGTGGCATTACTGGAAATTTTAAGTTCATTCAAACAAAAGAATTTGAACTAGTCTTTGGATAGTAAATTATGCGCTAGTTTAAATAACTTGATTTGAGTTTTTCCTGGTTCCAGCCATAACGTTTTTTCCATCTTACTACTTAATAGGAATGGTAATAGTTTACACAGATATTTTCCTTTTTATACTTTCTGTTAACCCCAGTTCTACTCTGTTAGTACACATGCCCAGAGTTGTTTTATTAGACTTCTTATGGTTTTTAGTGCAATAAAGAATTTTTAAAGAATCTAGTCCAGCGTGGTAATTTTTCTAACGAATGCCAAAGCCCCAGTGAGTGAGGATCAGATGAACCGAATGTCTCTGCTTAGGCTGCTCTCTCAAAGGCTGTGGTATGTAATGAAAAAGTGTAGAAGCTCATGCGGAGGTCTTTTCGGAGAATGGATTGACTGTAGTTCTTTGCTTGCCCCGCATCTCAAGAGAAGATTCAGAGATGTAAAAGCTGCTCCCATCTCTGACCTGTAGATGTATGACTTATGTGGTGCTGTATGCCTTGGCTTCTATCTGCACATACTGCTCTCTCTGCTCCATCTCATAGCTCAGAAGTTGTCAGTGAGATTCCCAACCAGCCTGGTTAATTTGTTTTTTCTTTCAGGAGTGGCTGCAAGGTGAAGAATCATGAAACGCAATCTCTTGCTTTGGATGGGTGTTCACAAGTAAGTCTGTCTATCACCAGAACATCTTTTAGACCATTTGTCCCCAAACTACGAATGCATCCCCTCTCCCCCGGGGGGGGGGGGGGGGGGGGGGGAGGGGGAATGGTAGTTAACTGAGACTTCCCACTGGGTACTGGAATATTTGGCTTTAAGAGAACCAAAGTCCTAAACTGATCTGAAAAGGCCTCTCAGGACAAGGCAACCCTTTCACAATTCCCCTTTTCCCATTATTTTAAGGTTCTCTCTCACCCATTTCAAATCTTACCACTGGGTGTGAAATCTCTGGGGCACCAAGCAAAGGGGAGATTTAAATATTGATGAAGGTTTTAAGGAGGTGATTGACTCCAGTGAGCGGATACTATTTTTTTAAATTCAGATGATTTTCCAGCTCATCACTTTCAACCAAATAAGAAGACCTGAGTTGATGGAAGTGAAGTAGACTTAGAAGTACAGGTTCAGAGAGGAAAAGGAATAATGTACATTTTTGACTCCTTAAAGAGGTTGTGTCCAATTTTAAATACATTGTAGGATATCAAATCATTAGAATAACTACATTGAATTAAGCAAGGTAGTATTTAAACTATATTAGATATTATATCCTTCAAAATTATTTAAAACTATGCTGAACAGTTTTTAGGTGGCACTTGAAAATACAATGGGGTACGCAGATATTTTTTGGTTTAATTTAGGAGGTTTATGAGCAAAATATTTGAAAACCACTGCCTTGGGACACTTAAACATCTTTCTAATAAATTTTGGCTAGAGAAGGTTAATTTGTCAAACCTCAGATTGGAAACAGAACAGCTGCTAGGTGCTAGAAAAAGGCAACATTCTATGATTGAAGGACTCCAGCTTCTTGCTTGATCTGTACTCAGATCTGTGGTTAACTCAGATCAAATAGTGGCTGGCTGCTCTGAGATGTCCTTTTCCCCACTTAATGGTAGCATCTTCTCTGTTGCATCTCCCAGGATGAAGGAGCAGTGATCTCCCAGAATCCAGACATTTCTAATAGGGACGGCCATGCTACCGATGAGGAGAAACTGGCATCCACTTCATCTGGTCAGAAATCAGCCGGGGCCGAGGTGAAAGGTGAGCCAGAGGAAGACCTGGAGTACTTTGAATGTTCCAATGTTCCCGTGTCTACCATAAATCATGCGCTTTCATCCTCAGAAGCAGGTATGGAAGTACATATTCATCTTTCTAATGTATATAGCATGGAAATGCCTGAAAGCCTAGAGTCGAGATGCCTTAGAGAGATTAGAGAATTTGGATTCTGATCTAAGCTTTGCTTCTTCATCTAGAAAAGAGACACAAAAAGGGTGTCTTATCAAATACCAGGTACATATGGATTAGTGTGGCAGGATGTGCTGGGGGCACTAATGCGTGGGACTGCTTGACGTTTTTTATAATTTATTTTAATGTGGCCACATCTCAAAGTATAGTGGCCTGTAACCATGATGTGATTATTGTGTTCCTTTTCAACTTACAGAAATAATAATAACTAACGTGTAATTCCTTACCATGTGCAGGCATTGTTCTAAGTGCTTTATGTGTATTAACTCACTGCTCTTTGTTATGTGTCATTTCCCCCCCATTTTTCAGAGAAGGAAAGTGAGACATAGAAGTTAAGTAACTTGGCCAAGGTTACTAAATGGCTAGTAAATGGTAGAACTAGGATTTAGACTTTAGCAATAGGTTCCATGGTCTTTTAATCAAAAGTTTGTTTTCATTACACTGGACCAGTGGTTGGCAAACTGCGGCTCTCTTGACTAATGAGTTTGCTGACCACTGCACTTGACCATTATAAATTGTCCTGCTCACAGATGTGGTAGACTGAAATTGACCAATGTCCTATAAAACCCTTTTTAATGTCCAAACAAGAACCTAGATAGACTAACTTTCTTGCTAACCTTCTTGCTGTTGGACTCTCAGAACATTCTAGAGCTGAGACCCTCCTAGGTCCCAGGTTGTATCTGTGATCCTAAACTTGACTTGTGAAATGTTTAGAACCATGTTCCTGACTACATTAAACATTATTTAAAAAGCAACATAGTTTAATTTGGCATTTTTAGACCTAGAATTTAAGAAATCATGATTTCATCAAACGAGGGAAATGGGATGGGAGTCAGGATTTTGTGAGAGTTACTCTTCCAGCCTCCTCCCTGCCCCCAGATCTCAGTTTTTCATCTATAAAATAAACGTGGCAGGCACTAGTACAGATTTCCTCCCAGGCCTCTTTCTGCTCTGACTTCTTTCCCAAGACTTCATTTGCCATTTCCCATTTTACCACCTTACTCAGGCAGGCTACACTTATTTCTTTTATGTGAAATATCTTTCTTTGCCATCTCTTATAGAAATTCTGCCCATCCTTTTGGGCCTATTTAAAAAAATGTCACTTGGCTCCCACCATCCTTTATGCTCCCAATGCGTTTCTTCTTACTGTTCCTGTTTTGTGTATTCATTATAGAAGGGTATCTTTGATAAGCTCCTCAAGGCTAAGGACTATGAGTGATTCATCTTCGAATTCCTCGACGGCAGGTGCATAGTAGATATTTGTTGAATTATATTCTTCCTCACTTGGAGGAAATTCCTGCAACAGAAATTTGTAGAGCTGGAGTTCTGTTAGATACAGTGCTGTCCTCATAGTGGTAGGTAGTATGTCACTGTGTGTAATGATCATCCATATCAAGGGAGAAGCAGAAGCTGTGCTCATGCAGTAGGAGTGTAAGGTGGACAGCTGTCAGGTGAATCAGAGAACATTTATTGGGAAAAGTCACCTTGGAGCTTGGTGTTGATAGATACAGACATAGATGTGCACCAGAGAATGAGGATCTCTCTCAGGGTTGGGAAGGAACCTGCCATGTGGGTAAAATGCCCTGTAGCCTGTGAGTACAGGGTAAGTGGGAAAATGAAGTGGGAATGAGGATTTGGTGGAGGGAAGCCATTGAAGGTTTTTTCATTATTTTTTTAAAATACATTTTTATTGATAGCAGAGAGAAAGGATGAAGGAGAGAGAGATAGAAACATCAATGATGAGAGAAAATCATTGATCAACTGCCTCCCTCACTCCCCCTACTAGGGATTGAGCTTGAAACCTGGGCATGTGCCCTTGACTGGAATCGAACCCAAGATCCTTCAGTCCGCAGGCTGACACTCTATCCAGTAGCCAAATCAGCTAGGGCTATTGAAGGTTTTTAAGCAGAGTAGTGATAGTCACATTTGTGTTTTTAAAATAATTCATTATAGATGGACACTATGCTAAAATAATAATTTGTTATTGCTTTGTGGGAGATTGTAGTAGTATAGAATTTTAAAATATTTTGAAATTGTCTTCAGTCCTGGCCAGTGTGTCTCAATTGGTTGGCCATCATCCCGTGCATTGAAGAGTTGCCAGTTTGATTCCCAGTCAGGACACACGTCCAGGTTGCAGGCTCTAGTGCAAGGTGTATAGGATGTTTCACTCTCAATTGGTCTCTCTCTTCTTCCTTCCATTTATTCCTTTCTTCCTCCCCCTCTCTCTCTCCCTTCCTCTCTCTAAATATCAATAAAAAAAATTGTCTTCAGTGAGAGCATATTCCTTTCATTAGAAAACGTGTAGTGTTAGGTTTTTTAAAATGTTGTCTCTGGTAGTAGAGTAGGAGGTACAAAATGAATTTAGTTTTGTGGGTATTGCAATTTGAAGCTTACTGTTTTATCTGCTACTGTTTACACTAATTAGACTGAGGGTACCCTGGTAGGCTGGAGTTTAAGACTTGGTAATACAACAGCATTCAGTGTTTCCTCTTCCTGAAATAATCCCGTGGTTAGTGCATGGGCACAAGGGGGCAGACTTGCTGTTCTTTGCACCTGAAGTTTGTGGCTTCATTTATGACTGACTAACTCCACACTCTTTCTTGTAAATTTGTTGGACTTTTAACATGGACAACACCGTGATCAATAGGAAGCCTTCGCCCCTGTGAAACTTGGAGTGCGTTCCTGTGTAGTCGATGTCATTCTGGGCCTACGCTGGGGGTTTCCCAGTGCCTTTCGCTAGGAAGGGAAGGAACCAGCTTCTTGGGCTAACTACAAAAATGACTCTGTGTTTTAGGCATAGACAAAGAGATGTGCCAGAAGATGGAGAAAGATGGATCTGCCGTGCCTGTAAGTTCCTAAGCTTTGCGGGTGAGGGGGGCGTTAAGTGGAGAGCTCAGGTTTTTTTCAGCATTTGTTTTGAGGCTCATGTTAAATCTTTAAATAAATTGTGGCCATTGTTTGGTGATGGGGATGAAATATAAATAAAACACAGCTTCTTCGCTTAAGGGGCTCACACTAGCGCATGTGCAACTGACACTTGATGTAGCTAGTCTGAAGGAGATGTCCTGTGAGTGTAAAATACAACCAGTGTTTGATGACTTGCATAAAAAGAAGGGAGGCAAAATGTCTCTAACTTTATATGGATTACATGTTGAGATGATAATGTTTTGGGTTAACTAAACTATATTATTAAACTGAATGTCACCTGTTTCTTTTTTTTTCAATGTGGTTGCTGAGGATTTTTTAAGTTGTATATGGCTTGCATTATATTTATTTTGAACAGCACTGGCAACGGGTACAGAATGGACACAAACCACACCTGTGGTGAAGGTTGTACTAGAGTGTGTTCCTAGGGGCTGTGGGAGCTGACTGGTTGCATGGCAGGTGGCAGGAAAGCTGAAGCTGTGCTGATGAAAAACAAAAAACTTAAAGAACTCTAGAATAGATAGATATTTTCCTTACTAAGAAAATCAAGTTAACAGAATGGTCAAATTCTTGATAACACAAAGGCCATGGGAGGCACAAGAAAGTTAGTTCCTAGAGATGGGGATTCTGGCTTAGAATAATAAACATTCACAAAAGACACACTTTAAAAAGTATTAATTTAGAATCGGAAATATAACAACAAGGTGAACCAAATATGTTTGCCTAACGTAGTATTATACATTATCTTCCTGTGGACAATTATATGGGAAGCAAGACTGTGGGAAAGCCTCTTGATGATAGACATGGCACAGGAAGTTAACAGAATGATCAGTGTCCAGGGGTTATCCACAGCGAGCATTTATTATGCCATCACTTGTGGATCAGGAACCCTGGGGCTGCAGGCAAGGGATAGACCAGTGCCGCGGTCACCTCCAGGCTCCGTCAGGTGGCCATTGGCACATCTCAGATGCTCTCTGGCTGTTGACAGAGCCATCAGTTCCTTGCCACATGGACCTCCCCATGGAGCTTCTCACTGCATGGAAGTTGGAGTCTTTTTGTAAACAAAGTGACCTACCATGACTTTTACCATATTGTGCCCTACAGGCGTGAGTCCTAGGTCTAGCCTGCCCCAAGGAAGAGAGTGCCGAGAGCATTAGTACCAGGAGGTGGGGTCACGGGAGCCATTTTAGAGGCTTCCCGCCACAAGTGACTCTTGGCTCTAGTAATAGGTCTGTCCCAAGATACTATTTCTTAGGAGTTTTGCACTTCTGTCAGCATAGTGGGCCACCCTCCCCCAAATGCTGCTGAAGATGGGCACTGCCAGCCTATGGCTTTGCATTTCCCTTTTCTGTGGCCTAAGCCCAGAGTTTCTGTATTGGATGAGGTCTGGGAGGCTGTCTGCAAAATTGTATATTTTTTAGTACTTTTTAGAGAAAGGATGATTCTATAATGATCCTGGCAAGTTTCTATCTTAGTTACCAAGAGATAGAAACATCAATGATGAGAGAGGATCATTGATGGGCTGTCTCCTGCATGTCCCCCACTGGGGATCGAGCCCACAACCCGGGCATGTGCCCTTGGCCGGAATCAAATCTGGGACCCTTCAGTCTGATGGCCAATGCTCTATCCACTGAGCCAAACTAGCTAGGGCTAGTGTTCTGTTTTTTCATGTAATTCTTTGGTGACTGACCACTATGGTAATTACACTTTCTTTTGGGGGATAAGAAGAAAACTTCTCTAGGTTCTCTGTTAGACAAGCAAGATACCCTGATAATCATTAGAATAACTTTTTCCTTCAGATAGCACTGTAACTAGACTTGATTTCTCAAAAACCCTGCTGGGTTTCTTTGTGTGTGTGTGTGTATGTGTGTGTGTGTGTGTGTGTGTGTGTGTGTGTGTGTGTGTGTTTTGTTTTGTTTTGTTTGTTTTTTTTGCTCGAAACATGTTTTTAAAGATTGTGATCAATGTAGTAATGAGGAAATTACTGAAGGATACTTAGGATTAAGAAGCTGTAGATTAAACGTATTAAATGTAACCTCTCTCCTTCCTGTCCCCAGGGACCGTTGGAGTCCCCTGTGGAGAAGGCCCCCGTGTCCGTGGCCTGTGGAGGAGAGAGCCCCCTGGATGGCATCTGCCTCAGTGAGTCAGATAAGACAGCCGTGCTCACCCTGATAAGAGAAGAGGTAAATGCTTCCTTGTTCCACCCACTTATCGCTCCATTTCTTTGTAAAGTCGTGTGCAGCAGGCCGATTCCATCTCTGCTGGCCTTAGTCATCCCTGCTGGAAGTTCGTGTTTCCTGCCTCTTGTTCAGCTCAGATAAAGGGCTCCCTGTAAAGCTCCCCGCTGATGCTGGGGTCTAACACTGTGGTGTCCTCTTTATCTTTTAGCCTTGAAATTTTAAATATAAAAAATTGCTAATTTTTTGCACATGAGTTTGTAAATCAGTGCCTTTATTTTACAGAGCACTTATGCTCCTACATAAAAATTGCTTAAATTCTGGACTTGCACTAATATACTATTGTTTTCTATCAATACATTCATTTATTTTTTAATTCAACTCTCAAATGCCTTTATCGTGTTTCTTGAGCAGCCTCTGTCCAAAAGTAGGTCACTGCTAGGCCTTGGGTGATCTGAAAAGTATGAATGGCACTGTTATACAGTATATTAGAAATCAGTTACCACTCTCTCCTGTTATATTTCTGTGCCATATTTATATACTTGGCTTGTGTATTACTTGGTGACTCCACCCTATTTTAAAGCAGGTGGAGCAATTTTATTTTTATAATGTGATGAAAGTAGTTAAGTACCTCTGATACATCTCTCTTAAAGTTTTAAAAAATGGCATTAAGGCCCTAGCTGTTTTGGCTCAGTGGATAGAGCATTGGCCTGCGGACTGAAGGTTCTCAGGTTCAATTCTAGCCAAGGGCACACACCCAGGTTGTGTGCTTGATTCCCAGTAGGGGTCGTGTAGGAGCTGCCAATCAATGATTCTTTCTCATCATTGATGTTTCTATCTCTCCCTTTCTCTCTGAAATCAATAAAAATATATATTTTAAAAAAATAGCATTAAGTTGGTAATGAGAGATGTCAAGTAACCCTGTTGTCAGCTTGGGTGCAGTATTGAGGAGCCCCTCTCTCCCACCCGAATCTCGTAAAAGAAAAATGACTCACCTTCCTCCTTAGAATTAAACTATGAGGTGTCCCCCTCATGGATCAAAGGAAAGATGTGTTTAGTCACTGCAGCAGATGAGCTAGCTTTTAGGATCCTGATTAAAGGCTCCAAAGTAAAACGTACCAATTAGAAGCACAGAGAAGTAAATAAAAGGAGAACTAGGTGTGCCCATCCAAGCCCTGTGCAAGGCAAATGGTGTTTCAGGCAGTGAATTTAGGTAATTTCCTTTCCATGTAGCATGGGCATCCCCATGGGTTCTGCACAGCCTGTAGTAAGATGGATGCACTGGCTGGAAGCACTGAACTTCCGACTTTCTCTTTCTGACTCTGTTTTATTAGGCAATCAGAAATCTCTGCAGAAAGAGAATATGCTGGTCATGCCAACTTCTAATGCTCTGACTGTGGCAGTTTTGTTTCTCATCCTAACTAAGATTGGTGCACTGGTGTCTCCTTGGGTTAAAGTGACTTTCTGTCAGATGACACTCTGCTCTGGGTGTCTTGTCCCAATCTGTGTTCTGGGCCTACAGGCGAGAGGCTGTAGGTTGAATTTACAGGGATCTTAGTTACCAATTGGAATTTTCCTAGGAGATGTTCTACTCACCTTTACCTTGGTGGCTAAGTTTCCAGCATAGCATGTGGCTAAGAGTTTATTTTTCTAAATGCTTATGAGCATTAGATAGATGATGAAGTGTACATTCTTAATGTATAGTGAATGTCTTGGGTAGAACTGTTGTTTGTCTTCAGTCTTAAATTCAAGCTGTAATAGATTGAATCGGTAAAACCAAGCTTTTTTTCTATTGTAATCTAGATAATCACTAAAGAGATTGAAGCAAATGAATGGAAGAAAAAATACGAAGAAACCCGACAAGAAGTCTTGGAGATGAGGTAAGATTGGAGGTTTGGGCGAGGGATTGCATGCCTTTATGCATTGTTAGATTTAGTACAAATGAAATGATGAAAATATTTGCTTATCAAAGAATCAGCTATTGAGAACTTGGGGCTATGCTATTTATATCTTAATTTGTGATTAATAATATCATTTCATGAGCATTGCTCACCAGGCAAATACTATAGTCAAATACTGTAGTTTATTTTGGGGTGTTCAGAACATTACAAATAAGGAGAACTCACATAATTTTTATCTTTCGAAATAACAGATTTATAAAAATATCCCTTTGAAATACAGAGTAATAAGATGTCCTGACATTTAGTTATGGAGACAATATAATTCATAATATGTTTTAAAAATTTATCTTTATTGTTGAAAGTATTACAGATGTCCCCTTTACATAATACTTTAAAAAATCTATTCATGGTAGTGTCAAATCTCATAACCAATCAATAGATTATAAAAAGCATGTTAACAGGAAACAGAACTGATTGACATTTTAAAATTGAAAGCTTTTTATTTTTGCTGCTCACTCTCTCTAAAGATTTAGGAGCTCTGGATTAACTAGAGATGGCATCAAAGAAGAGGGAAAAAGCATAAATAATTTATACAGTCAGCACTTGAATGATGAGGAAATATTTTAAATAAGTCCATGCTAATTTGTGTCTCTTGTGTTATTGTTATTTTTTTAATTTTTAAAAGATGTTTTTATTGAAAATTTTTTTAGAGAAAGAGGAAGGGTGAGGGAGAGAGGGAAACATCAATCAGTTGCCTCCCATACAAACCTGCAACCTGACTGGGAATTGAACCAGCAACCTTTCAGTGCATGGAGCAAAGCTCTACCAACTGAGCCACACTGACCAGGGCTATCTGTTTTTTTGAGCATTTTTTTTTACTGAGTGTAAGGCACCATTCTGGGAATGATGGAGAAGGAACAGCCCCTGTCCTTGGAGAGCTTATAGGAGCTATTATGTGTTAAAAGCTTGGGTGCAGGGTCAAAGTGATGGGCACGACCAGTGAGGAGAGGGGGAGCCATCGTTTCTTACTGAGGGATCACAGGGAAGAGCACCGTCACTTAGGCCAACATTGTTGCATTTCGCTTAAAGGAAGATTAACATGACAGGTGATCTTTGAATAACTGAGCTGCTTTGGGGATTAGGAAAGTAAAATAAAACTTGTAAGTAAATCAGAGGGGACAGATATCAAAAATGGTGGATCGGGGCCAGGAAAGCCTGAACACAGATCAGATCTTTTAGGAAGACGCCCCCATAATGTCCTTATAGTAGTTCCCCCCTTACCTACCAACGATATGTTTCAAGATCCCCAGTAGATGCCTGAAGCTGCAGATAGTGTCGAAACCTACATGTACTTTTTCCAGTACATACATATCTATGGTAAAGTTTAATCTATAAATTAGACACAAGAGATTAACAGTAATACCCTATAATAAAATAGAACAGTTTTAATAGTCCTATATAATAAACGCCTAATTTGCAAATCGACTGAACAGCAGAATGACAGGTCAGTGGGGCCTGTGCGTGGTCGGTGCCTGGCCAGCTAAGGCAGGTGCCATTGGGCAGAGGGAGGGGACAGCAATGAGAGGGGCAGTGATGGAGGGGCAGTCAGGGTATGGGGCCAGCCGTCCCCAACCTCCTGCAGAGGGAGGCCACTGGCGGCAGAGGAATGGGGGTCAGGAATGTCCGTGGGGAGCAGACCTAAGCTGTCAGTCTGACATCCCCCGAGGGCTCCAGGACTGTGAGAGGGTGCAGGCTGGGCTGAGGGACCCTTCTCCCCCCTCCCCCCCCACGAATTTTCATGCACTGGGCCTCTAGTATAATATAATAAAAGTTATTTGAATGTGGTTTGTCTCTCTCAAAACATTATCTTGTACTTTATTCATCTTTTCAGGTAAAGGGAACACTTTATGGCTTCTCTAAGTAAAATAAGGGTGACTTGAACACAAGCCCTATGACACTGAGATAGTTGATCTGATAATTCAAATGGCTAAGTGACTAACAGGCAAGTAGCATATGCAGCTTGGAGATGCTGGACAAGGATGATTTATATACCAGACAGGCCTGAATGAGGTGGTGTGTGACTTCATCACCCTAGAACGGTGCAAAATTTAAAACATATGAGTTATTTACTTCTGGAATCTTTCATTTAATATTTTTGGACTGTGGTTGACTGAAGGTAACCGAAACTGGAAAGTGAAGCTATGGGTAATGGAGGGCTACTGTAACTTAATTTGTAAAATACTGATTTGTCTAAGCAAACCTAAATCTATTGCCTGGACGTCATTTCTTTGCCTGGAGGCAAGGAAAAAGTGAAGGTAGTTGTTTCTACAAATAGAACGAAGGCTTGTTAAACATAAAATCTTAAGAAAAACCTTTCTGAACATTAACAGATCTTGTATTAACGTAAAAAAAAAGAGATCCAAAGTGGATGAATGGGTTACGTAAATCTGTCAGTATTGGAAAATAATCTTACCTAATAATTGACAAACATGTAAATTGACCATGTCTCCATTGTGCCCATCAGCCAGTCAGGAGTGATATGTAAATTAACCCAACAAAGATGGCGGTTAATTTGCATACACAGGGCCCGGGCAGGATGCAAGCATTCAGCCCCACACCCAGTCTCTCAGGGCCTTTGGGCAGTGTGGGAAGGTCGGGCAGGAGCGGAAAGAGGCGGCTCCGGGGCTGGGCCGTAGTGGAAAGGCAGTGCCGGCAGCCAGGGAAAGGAAGGCCCATACTAGCACGAATCTTCATGCATCGGGCTTCTAGTGGCCTGGTGCACAGATTTGTGCATATTAAAATTAATTAGAAGAAATATTTTAATATCACCATTTGCCCTTTCTCCATAATAGAAGTGTCAACCAAATTCATGATTGACAATGACAGATCAAAACATACATGTGATTGGCAGCAGCAAAAGCTTTCTATGTATTGGGCATGCCCGAGTCAACGTTTATTTTTAAATTGCCAGTGCGAGTCATATGTAACAGTTGGTTAGTCACTTAGCTTTTTATAAATATAGATTAATATAATCCTATCTAATAAAAGAGTAATATGCAAATTGACCGTCACTCCAACATATAAGATGGCTGCCCCCATGTGGACACAAGATGGCAGCTACAAGATGGCCTGCGGGGGGGGGGGGATGGGGAGGAGTTGGCCCTCAGCCCAGCCTGCACCCCTCTCCAATCTGTGATCCCTCTCACAATCCAGGACTGCTGGCTCCCAACCGCTCACCTGCCTGCCTGCCTGATTGCCCCTAACTGCTTCTGCCTACCAGCCTGATCACCCCCTAACCACTCCCCTGCCAGCCTGGTTTCCCCTAATTGCCTTCCCCTGAAGGCCTGGTCCCTCCCAACTACCCTCCCCTGCAGGCCATCTTGTGGTGACCATCTTATGTGTTGGAGTGATGGTCAATTTGCATACTATTTTATTAGATAGGATTATATTAATTGTACTATTTTCCAAATGAACAGTTGTAAATCTATTTTTGTCCTACCTTATATGTTAATGTGTTTAATTGGGAAAGTATTTCTCCAACTTTTATTGTCTACAAATTCTCCTCTGATAATAATTTTATTTTTATTTTTAAGGAAAATTGTGGCTGAATATGAAAAGACCATTGCCCAAATGATTGGTAAGGAGATTTTTTTCCCTAGGGAATGAGCCATAGGATCCATAGATAAATTTCAAATCAGTTTACAAACTTCACTTTGTCCATACCTTAGATACAGTTGATTTTCATTATTCGCAGTAGTTATGTTTTATGAAGTTGCCATCAACACTGAGTTAACAAACACTGAACTGTTGCTTCTAGGGAAGTACAGGGTTAGGTTCCTGCAAGCTCTGGTCACAACTGTTTTGAAATTACATAATCTTGTCCTATGTGTGCTTCTGTTTAAAGACATCTTATTTGATATATAGTGTTGATTCATTAACATTGACCTCGAGGCCAACAGTGCTAATAGCTCATGTGTGAACAACGCTCATTGAGCATGTATTTTCCCTGGAAGGCACATCACAGCCTTCCTGCACTTAGGAACTCTAGACAGCTCTGTAGCACTACACTTGGGAGCTTTTTTTAAAATAGCAAAATCACCAACAGAAAGCACAGACACACATACACAAAAGCACTAAGTAATTGTGGAAAGGGCACTTGTTTACAGTAGAAAGCGAGAAGACGTCACCTTTCTCAACCTCAGCTGTTCCGCACATGTCTGTGAATGACCAGGAATGCACCAGAAGTTCTGATTTGGGGTTTACAAATAAATTTTAGTAAGTAGGCAAATTCACAGATAGGGAATCCATGAGTGATGGGCATCAGCTGTAGCTGGGGGCTGGCAAACACTTGGATTCTGTGAAAAGCCCCTCTCCCCCCCCAGTACCTAGAACACGGGCAGCCTAGGCACATTGCTTGTACCCCCAGGTGGTGCCGTGAGCTCACTGCCAGGTGTACAGACCCATGGTGCCTTTCCAGAATGGCAGTGGCTGACCTTCCTGCACTGGATTTAGAACTTCTGGACAGTGTTGTAAGGACTGATCCTGAAATCGGAGTCAGGTCTTCTACAATTAAGCACTGAGGTGGTATTTTTCTACCATCCTCATCACCTAACACCGTCCCAGCACGTGGCCTTTGCCACAGCTGTTCACCTCATCTGCTTGGAATCTGTTCAGATCTCTCCTGAGTGAGGTCACTCTCTATAAAAAGGGACCCCCCCCCCCCCCGCTGCCCTGCCCTGATTCCCCATCACTTGTCACCACATCTCCCCCCAACAGAATGTAAGTGCTTGAAAGTGAGGACTTTGTAATGTCCACTCTAGGTCCCACCAGCGAGAACACTGCTTATTAGCTCAGGAGGGCAGCTGCTAACTGCTTGTTGATTGAATGTGCCTTTGCTTTTGATTGTGATTCACAGAAGATGAGCAAAGGACAAGTATGACCTCTCAGAAAAGCTTCCAGCAACTGACCATGGAGAAGGAGCAGGCCCTGGCTGACCTTAACTCTGTGGAAAGGTCCCTTTCTGATCTCTTCAGGAGATATGAAAACCTGAAAGGTGTTCTGGAAGGGTTCAAGAAGGTAGCTTGTCCTTTCTTCTGGAATCTCTTTGCTGTGGTGGTGGATTGTCAGATGTGTATGCCAGAGTATGGGTAGCCTTTTACAATAAATTGGGTTTTGGGGCCCCTGTGGACCTGGATCTTCTGTTCCAGGGAAGCTGGAGGATCCCCTTCCTCCTTTTCTGTGTGGGTGGCATGTCTTGGTCATTCATCTCCTGGGTCAGGCCGTAAACCCCAGACACATTTAGAGTATGGCATGGAGTATAAGAACTGCGGAACCCTTGGACTTTAGGAGAATTCTAGAAATGTTCATTTTGATAATGCACCAATTCAATATTAGTAAAAGTAAAAAGGATTCTAGAGATAGCCCTGAGAAGTTTAGGTTGCATATTCTAGAGAAAAGTAATGTTTCAAATTTAGGTGTATTGATTTGATTTACCATCAATGAGATAACATTTATAGCAGTGAACATTCTTTTTGTCCATATTAAAATAAAAATGAGACTGGCTAATTTATCTATGACAATCAGATTGACGTTCAGAGTTGAATAACTGCTTTCCTAAAGCAGGAGTACTAGTGTAACTGAACCTTGCTGTATGAAAATTAATATATACCCCTTACCTATACATGAAGAAATTATCTAGATTTTTTTCGGTAGATTTATTTGTGCCTGTTTCAGATTACCATATAGTATAATTTAAAGGCATCTGAATTAATCGGGTTTTCTTGGTTTTAAAAAAATGAGGACTCTGATACATGGTGTGTATCAGCAGAAGAAAAAAAGAAAATAATCTGTTTCTTTTATTTTTCACTTGTCATTTGAGAACAGAATGAAGAAGCCTTGAAAAAATGTGCTCAGGATTACTTAGCCAGAGTTAAGCAGGAGGAACAGCGGTATCAGGCTTTGAAGATCCACGCAGAAGAAAAACTGGACAAGTAAGAGCTTGCACATAAGAATTTTGTTTTTCATGATGTGAAGATTGATGGAGGCAAGGAAGAAATCACTGTTTTGCAACTCTAGATGTGTGTGTGTGTTTGTGTGTGTGTGTGTGTGTGTGTGTTTACTTTTTTTGAATAGGTAGAATCTTCCCATGTTCTAATATTAAAAAGAATAAGATATACAGTATCTCCCTATACTCCATGCCCATTCCCTTGGATTTCCTCCTCTTTCCTTTCCTGGGATCATCACTATTTTATACTCCCAGATGCTCTTTTACCCCCATCTTTTTTCTCCCCCAGCTTTATTGAGACATAATTGACATATATGTGTAAGTTTAAGGTATACAGTGTGTCAATTTGATATACTTACGTATTGCACCATGATAGTGTTAGCCAATACCTCCATCTCAGTAATTACCATTTTTTAATGTTGTGAGAATCTCCTTTTTTATACAAATGATAGCATATCTTGCTTTTCTCTTTTAGCAATGTATTTTGGAAATCTTCCTGTATCAATCCACGAAGAGCTTCCTTACTTTTAAGACAGCCGTGTGGCATGTTCCACTGTTGGAATGTCCCTCCCTATTGGACCTTCAGGTTATTTAAAATCTGCTACCAACAGGGCTGCAATAAGCAACCTTTTATGATTATCATTAGGCAAGCATGGGAGTTATCTGTATGATAGGAAAGGGATGCTGGGCCAAAGAATATAGGAACTTATGATACTGTCCATTTGCCCTCCTTAGACTTCTATTAATTTATATTCCTACACAATGTATGAGTGTCTCTTTTTCCCTACAGCTTTGCCAACAGGTCAGATTTTCAGTTTTCTGCAAATACAATAGATGAAAAATGGTATTTCAGTGAAGTTGGTTGAGTTTTTTTTGTTGTTCTGGGTTTGTTTATTGTGGGTTTTTTTTGGCAAGCAACAGAACATTTATTTTATTCATTGTAGTTTTGATTTATGTTTATTTTATGAGTGAAATTGAACATATTTTAGCAGCTGTCCATACAGATATTTACTTTACTATGAATGACTGTTCTTTGCCCATTTTTCTATTATCAGTTTATATATATGTTACTATAGGCATTATCTTTACTAATAAAAGGGTAATATGCAAAATGGTCAGAACATCCTCACGGTAACAACTAAACAGCAGGCTGCATGGGGTGACCAGGCTGGCAGGGGGGCTAGTGAGGGACAACCAAACGACTGAACAGCAGGCTGTATGGGGCGACCAGGCCAGCAGTGGGGGAAAGGGGCAGTGAGACTCCTCCAGGTTGGAGGAGGGGGGTAGTGGGGGCAACCAGGCTGGCAGTAGGGGGCAGTAAGGGGCAACCAGGCCAGCGGTGGGGTAGTTAAGGGTGATCAGGCTGACAGGGGCACAGTAGGGGCGATCCAGCAGGCAGGCAGGTGAGCAGTTAGGAGCCAGCAGTTCCGGATTATGAGAGGGATGTCCAACTGTCGGTTTAGGCCCGATCCCTGAGGGGTCCTGGATAGGAGAAGGTACAGGCTTGGCTGAGGAGACCTATCCTACCCCTCCCTGTGCATGAATTTGTGCACCAGGCTTCTAGTACTTATTTGTTAAGGATGACAGCCCTTTGTGATATGAGTGGTAAATAATTTTTCCTGCTTTGTCAGTTACCTTTTGGCTCTGCTTGTAGTGGTTTTGATGTGCAGACATGTATTTTTGGTAGTGAAATTAGCAGTCATTTTTCTTACAGCGTCAGGATTTCCTGTCATAGGAAGAAAGATTTCCCTCGGGCTGAATATAAAAACTTCTCCTATGTTTTCCCTTTAGTACTTTTATGGCTTAATTTTTTAATTCTTAAATCCAACACATTTGGGATTTATCCTGAGGAGTGGTATGAAGGATGCACCAACTTTATTTATTTATTTATTTATTTATTTATTTATTATATTTTTTTTCTATGTTCTTTTTTTTTTTTTAATATATTTTATTGATTTTTTTACAGAGAGGAAGAGAGAGGGATAGAGAGTTAGAAACATTGATGAGAGAGAATCATCAATCAACTGCCTCTTGCACGCCCCCCACTGAGGATGTGCCCGCAACCAAGGTACATGCCCTTGACCGGAATCGAACCCAGGACCTTTCAGTTCACAGGCCGACGCACTATCCACTGAGCCAAACCGGTTTTGTCCAACTTTATTTTTTAACTAAAAAGTAATACATAGATTTTGCTCTCTGTCTTCCTACTTGTAAAACCTTTTAAGTTCCCCCTGTCCCATTGCCACTCCCAGAGGTTCTGCTGTCAAAATTTATTGTGTACCCTCATAGTCTTTGTGCCTTTACAAATACTGCCCATAATGGCTTTGACTTTCTAAATTAAAAACTATAATGGAGGCAGCATATTACAAAGTTTCCTTTTTCATTTGATAATATAGCATGGCCATTTTTCATGTCAGAACTTACAGTGTAATCTAATTCACCATTGTGCCAAGTGGGAATGTTGCTGTGAATAGATTACTAACAGGGAGGGCACTGCTGACCCAGACGGTGTATACATGTTAACCTGTAGTGGTTACTATCACATTGCCCTCCACAGAGATGGCCAATTTTCACCCCCACAGTGAGCCTGTTTCCTTGCATCTCAGCCAGTACGGGACAAGATCATTCTTGTTAATTTTTCCCGGTCTGACGGATTTTAAGACTTATCACCTTAATTTGCATGTCTCTGATTACTAGTGAGTTTTTACCATCTTTTTGTCAGTTAAGTGGCTATTTATCAACTGACATTTATGTTTTTTTTTAAAGTTTCTTTTGCCCCACAATAATAAAGTCACTTTTAGGACTGTGTCGTAAATGAGATGGTTAGTATCCTGCCTCTTCAGCTGTGATGATCTCAAGGATGATCCTACCTGCTATTGTACAGGGTTAAAAACCCCACAAAACTAATTTGATTGTTGTAGAAACTCATGTGGATTCATTTTCCAGTGACATGAATTTTGAAGGACACCATGGCCTTTGAGATTAACTCTACCATTGGTTTGCACCATGCATATTTGCTTAGCAGTTGTGTGTAAATTGTTTACCAGTTAAAATTGAATTATTTAGGTCATCGATTCCTTTTGTTTTTCTCTTGTCATGAAGTCAGTTCATTTAGGTTGTTTCAGAGATGTCAGTGGTTACTGTCCTGACTCTCTTACAGTGACTGATGACTAACCATGTGCTTTTTTGTCCCTTTATTCGACAAACAAAACCTCAACAGAGCCAATGAAGAGATTGCGCAGGTTCGAGCAAAAGCGAAGGCTGAGAGTGCAGCGCTCCACGCAGGACTCCGGAAAGAGCAGATGAAGGTGGAGTCCCTGGAAAGGGCCCTGCAGCAGAAGGTACGGAGAGGGGTGTGACCACAGGGACCTAGGTTTCTGTCCTCCGCAGCGGCCAGCTTACGGTGGATCTGGAGGAAAGAGGCCTCGCCTTTTTGCCCAGACACTTCAGTCCAGTTCCTTGAGCCAGTTCATGGGGGAAACACACAGGCAAACCAGGAAATTCCCAGGCACATTGGTGGGAACTGTCCACAGGCAGGGCTCAGAGAGGAAGTGGCATTAACTGAACTTCAGGCACCAAACACTATTTAGTTGGGTCTTAGGCTCCCTTAAAAAGTTCTCTGTGTGTGTGTGTGTCTGTGTGTGTGTGTGTCTGTGTGTGTGTGTGTGTGTGTGTGTGTATGTGTGGTGGTGGTGTTGTTTTAATGTAATATAAAAGCCGTCTTTCCCTTGATTATAATTTTACCTTGCAGGGCACGTTTGGCAACACCTAGAGATATGTTTGGTTGTTAGGACTAGGAGATGCTACTGGCATCTAGTGGGGAGGGGCCAGAAATGCAGCCAAACATCCTACAGTGCAGGGAACAGCCCCACAAGGAAGACTGGCCCAGCCCGTGGTGGGTGGTGGAGCAGCTGCTGTAGGTGAATAGTGGTAACAATGGTCCCTCTTGCTCGCTGCTCACTGCTCACTGCTCGGCCATCCTCAGACTTCGGTTTTTGTCTGCCTCCAGTGTTTTCCTTCCTATGTCTCCAGTTGTGTATTCGTGCCTGTGGCCTCCATTAAGTTAGGACAGCGTTTTTACCTCGGCTTCTGACAAAAAAAATCAGACAGAGTTCCTGGGATATGAGGACTCAAGAATCCCAGGTCCCTGGAGATGCTAATGGATTGAGTGAGGCCCAGATGCTTGTGTTTTTAACAGGTATCCTGGGTAATTCCTAGGATAACAAGAAAATTTGAGAAGTAAGGGCTTCATGGACAAGCTGCAGAGGACCAGTGACTGACCTCACTCCCTACTCCATTTAAGTATAACCTTTCACACATGAGCATTTTCCAGAGGCGAAGGTATAGTGCTCTCCTTTCTTCCAAGGAGAAAAGATGTAGAAAGAGCCACGGAGTTAGAGTAGAGCCAGCCTGGGGACTATTGGTTATCATTTCCTGTATCTCAGTACACCGATGACCTGCACAGTCGTATCATTTGTCTTTCAGAACCAAGAAATCGAAGAACTGACGAAAATCTGCGACGAGCTGATTGCCAAGCTGGGAAAGACTGACTGAGTTTCCCCCGTTCGCTCAGTGGATCTGCATTTGGCTGCTTCTGTCGTGACCACAGTATCTTGCCTTACCCAGGAATTATTGCCCCTTTGCAGAGAAAAAAACTTGGAAAAAGCACATGCCCACTGCTGCCTGTCCTGCTTTGCTGCCGGCGCACAGCCTGGAAGAGCCTTGGAGCGGTGCACCGACGCCGAAGAAGTGGCCGGGGGTCCGCCCAGCGCCGCCTGTGGTCCAGTAGACGGCTGCTGAGCTGGGTTTGTGATTTCTCTGTATGAATTCATTTTTTTTTTACAGCTGTGTACTTTCCTTATTAATACCTTTTCAACCATACCATGAACAGCATATTCTCCCACACTTCAACGATTCCCATTGCCACATGTAATTCACTTCAGAGGCACATAGGTTCTGAAAACTAATGTTCTCAGTAATTACGAAGAGCAGCTTTTTAGGAACTCTTCCTGCTTTACCATTTAATAGGGGTGTCGAACTCAATCAGAGAAGGGGCCAAAATCTAAAATCCAGCCTAAATCAAGGGCCGAATGGTTTACTGAACAGTCATAAACTGTCATTGTGATGGAAACGCAGCGGAGTGCAGTGATGACAGCGCGGTGCGGGCCACATTGCAAGGCCTGGTGGGACGGATTTGGCCCGCGGGCCTTGTGTTTGACACATGTGAAAGATACTTATGGCTGAGGAAGCACCCCCACCTTTTGCTCCCTGGAGAACTCTGAGCTAAACTTAATTCTTTCAGTTCTATGTCTCATACAGATAAGCAGTTAGGAACTTTGCACGCGAGCAGGAATCCAAGTCAGATGCAGAAATGGAATTTTTAGGGCCGTTCATATATTAGGGCAGAAGCACCACTGGGATTCCCGTGACAATGAATGTGTGCTTGGTGCCTTTATTGCACATGCCAAAGGTCAGTTCTGGAGAAAGCAGAGCATGCTATAAATGAGCTAGAGAAGTCCCTTGGCCTCTTTGTACCTTTGTTTCCTTATCACTGTGTAAAAGCTGCATCCCATGCCAGCCTGAAATGTTCCAAAGCTCACTTTTGTTATTAAATTGCAACCAAGATTTATATATTGCAAAAAAGGAGTGCTTGAAACACATTCCTTTCAAGAAATTCTGTTTTATTGAAGGATAAATCTAAATATTGTAGGGAAAGCAGGCCTTCAAATGAACCCTCAAATAATTCTCTCAAATTATTTCCACTGAGATTTACCGGCATCATCTCCCCCACCCATCCCCCACAACCATTCTGGCGGGAGGGAGGGAGAGGCCTGCTGCAGCCCTGGGTCCAACCCCACTCCCCATACCCCTTTTAAATGCCCCACCTCCTTCCCCTTCGTCCTAACATGGTGCCACCACAGCCTGTCTTCATTCATTTTGAAGTCCACTTTGCTTTTCCAAGTGCGCTAAATTTGTGATTTTATTTGGGATCATCTCCTGTTCACCATGTCTCTGATTTTTTGTGTGTGACATATTTATTTCATCTTTTAAATTTAATTTTCAGTATTGGTGGTTTTATTTGAGGAGGTAATTTGGCTTTTGTTACTTCTAATTTGTAAACAAGAAGGAGCTCTGAGTACCCATTTACATACATATACAAACACTCACATATATTTACCTATGCTGCTGTTATCCCCTAAGTATAGTCAAATAAGAACCTACAGAAGAGCCTATTTCCATACATGTAAAAACTTATTTTGGAATAGAGTCTTAGCTCAGAATGCCAGCCTCAGGATTTGGGGGGATTGAACATGTGACTCATGACCCCAGTTCAGGTTTCACGTCCAGGGAAGACTTCACCATAACATTTGTTGCTGGGTGTTGGATACTCCTCAGCCCTCTGGGTGAGTCTGCAAGCTGACTGTGGCTGCTTCCTGCGGGGACAGCTGAGTGGGGTTTCCTCGGAACTGGGTCTAGGAACTGGGTGTGGCTAGGCTGTCCTAGAGCCACTTCTTTTCTGCTTCACTTGTTGCTACAAAACCAATATTTCCTCTTGATCATTTGAAATCCACTGAGAAAATCTTGTAAAAGGTTTAGATGATCTTATAATTAAAAGGTGACTGTAACCCCATCAGCAAGTAAAGGGGAAGAAACAGTTGTTTTTTCACAAATGGGAATGTCTTGTTCTTCAGATATTTTCTTTTGAGAAAAAAAAAAAAAAAAGTTCTTTCAAACGTAAGACAGAATTTTTAACAAGACGGGCAGTAAAAGTCATGTGAACCACTCTGAAAATCAGCGCATTTGGAGCGTTTTAAACAGAAGCCATTTGACTAGCGGAGGAGCGGAGTGCAGGGAACAGGCCCGCACACAGAACCCACTTCCTCAAGCTCTTCCTGGGCTTGCTCAGGAGCTGAGAAGCTGTTAATCCCCAAAAGGAAATTCCCAGCATTTGATAGGCAAAACCAGACCCTGCAGGTGTTTTAAAGCACTCGTCTTAACCTTACCACCTGAAGGTCTTCATGGTCACATGCACTGTGTTCAGTACCTGTAAGTTTTCGTGCTTTTCCTGGAAAACTATTGCATGATCCACCTTCACAATGAATTGTGCCAGGTGGAGAGCCTCTGTAGATCCTAAAACTCGAATTCCCCTTTAGAAGTGTACTGCTCACAGGCGTGCAATCTTTAGCCCCAAGGAGGTCAATAATGCCTTTTAAAGCCAGAGTCACATTTTATCAATATGCATTTACACAATTGGTGCTTAGGCTGTATTTTAAAGCCTATGGTCTTACCACTTTGTACAAAAAAGAACAACAGAAGTGGTGTGTGGTTGGAGAGGTGACGGGACAATCATTTGGGCTTTGAAAACAGTCCCTGGGTAAATGTGATTGCTGTGCTGTAGCTTAGCTCAGTGTCTCCAGGTGGCGTCGCTGATTTCCTCCTTTAGCCGTCTCCTACCAAGAAAAGCCACTGCATTTGCAGAAACATTGCTAAACCTTTTTGCTGCTGTATTTTGATGACATGTCCATGTTTGTTGATCTGTTTTAAGCATGGAAGGCTTATAGATGGTGTTCATCGTAAATCCTAGTCCTCTTTTTAGTTTTCTTGTGTATATAAAAAAAGATAGCTACGTGTTAAACAGGTGACGACAATCCTTCCCCAGCACACTGGTAAAAGAGATTCCTTAAAAACTAGACCTTAGAGCAGTGGTTCTCAACCTTCCTAATGCCAAGACCATTTAATACAGTTTCACGTTGTGGTGACCCCCAACCATAAAATTATTTTCGTTGCTACTTCATAACTGTAATTTTGCTACTGTTACGAATCATAATGTAAATATCTGATATGCAGGATGTCTTAGGTGACCCCTGTGAAGGGGTTGTGACCCACAGGTTGAGAACCGCTGCCCTGGAGTGAAGTTGCTGCACAAGGAATACGAGAGGACTCGGTTTAAGTAATATTTGCCTCTGTCCTCTCAGCCATGACCGTTAGAAAAACATGTTCTTCCTTCTAATGTAATAGGTGGATATTCTCCAACGAGAATAAAAATGTAGCTGGCAAATCAAGAGACTATACTGGACAGAATAAAGTATGTTTGTTTATTTTTCTTAAAAAATAAACAACACAAAACAAACAAACCAACTCCAAACTTTTAGAACTCTGGAGTAAGAAGACAGCCTAGAGTTGGCCCCTAGAGAGCCAGATTCCTTGTTAGGCCATAGTAACCCTGTTACAAAAGTGGAAAGACATGAATGCAAGCTGCTGGCCCAGATTGTAGTTGGGAAGTATTCGGTGATCTTGTTGAGACTCTGGATCCAGAGACATTGCTTAAGTTTTTTACTTTGCCAGAGTGTAGATAGTTCATCTTAAAGTATTTTAGTTGGAGACTGAGCAGTGTGTTGCTAGGTTGGCCAGATGGTCTGTTACAGTCAGACCTCCTGAGAGGAACTATGTTGGGAGAAGCTCCTGAAGGCCTGCCCACACCTTTTGTCCTGGAAAAATTGAGAAGCCCGGTTTTCTCTTGTGGTTTCCAGCCTCTTCAGACCCAGCCCAAATTAGGAAGTGTAGAAACACATCTGAGGGTCTGGCTGCCTTCCAGTATGATATGGAATCTAAGGAAAGATTTATGTTTGGTTTTGAGGGATGGTTCAAGTTGAATCTTCTTTCCAGCCGGTTACCCTTTCCACCTGTCCCACGTTTTGTGCAACTCGCACACTAATACCTAGACCTTGGTTGGACGGCCCTGAGTTAGTACTATTTGTGAACAGGGGGAGTAAACTGCCCTCAGTGTTCCCGGGCTGTCTGTCTGAAGCAGCCAGAGGGAAGCGCTCACTTTGAATAAAAGTAAACAAGGGCTTGCTGGGGTTTGGAGCTCACCATGGAATTTTTAACGAGCAGGCACCAGTAAACTTGTGCGCCCTCCTTGGAAGTGATCCAGCACATCCTTTCTAGTGCTGTAAAAGCCCCAAAGCTCCCTCTGAATTTCCTTTTGGTTTTTCACTACAATTAGCAGTCGTCTCTCTAAACTGTCTTTTCATTGTGGTTTTGTGACCATGTGAGCTTGCTCTTGGACTTGGTTTCTCACTTTATCCTCTTATTAGAAATAGAGAAACTAGGTGTTAAAAGATGAAATGATTCAGGCAAAGGATTTTAAAGTAAAGATGTATATATTCTGAAGAATTTTAAAGATAGCAGATTATTACTTGCTTATTAAAATACAAATATTATCTGGGAATCCCAGAATGTCAGGCCAAAGGTCTAAGAAGTCATTTTCTTCAGAGATGTTAATAGAAATATTTTGAGGAGACTTCTGTCCAAAAAGGTTTGACTGGCCTCCAGATCCCAGTGATTTTTAGAAAGCAATTTATCACTCAAACCTAGAGTCTCCCATAGTAAAGCTAAAGAAATCAGACTTCTCTCTAAGGATCTCCTCTGGAAGATAACATAAACAGCAGCATTTCTAGGGAAGACTCTCCCTGGTGCCTAGTTAGCATTCTGGAGATTAAAGATTGCACTTTTCGTAGTTCTTTGTCCAAATGCAGTCCCATTTCTGTGCCTCTTAGCATGCAGTTAGATTTGGACAAACAAGATTCCTAAGGAATGACTTTATTAACTATAATATGGTTACAGCTATTACATATATGTATACAGATGTATATATACATATATATATATATATATACAGATTATAGTTATAATATAAAGTTGTGTGCGATGCCGACAGTCTTAACTCATTTGGAGGAGGCCAGATGTGGAGCTGAGGTGTGGTTTGAACCTTCCCTGTATCGATTCTTTAGAACTATAAAGATGCCACTTTCTCCCCCTCTGCCTTTCAGTGGTGTCTGAAATATACTCCAAAACACATTTCCAAGTCATATGGTTAACCAATATTCTATATTAAAAATTTCCAAGTGGACCTATGAAAATCTGAACTCGGACCCACCCTTCCCCCTTCCAGATACAGGGCAGGTGTCACCATACCTACAGCCTCACTCCTGTCCTTCCTACCCGATGAGACAGGACCCAGG